TATGAAGATGAAGAAAGAGGTGAGCTAGTTGATGAAAAGAAAATGTGGGGATTGGGAAGTCATCAGATGGGAATCAATTTATTTAATGGATTGGTGGGAAATTAATTTGTGGGTGATCTTATTAGTTTTGTCAAATATTGTTCTTATTATGTGAAATCAAATTGATTTAGAACCCATTTAATTAGAGAAGGTTCAAAAAAATTAACCGTGTTGTGCCTTCTTTGTGTTGTGCTTTCTAAGGTCAAATATATGACTTAGTGTTTGTTCATAGATTCTAGCAAAGATATGGTTTGATATTCACACACAAACTTTGTGACTAGCTAACCCTCAGAAAAACCATTCTGAGATAGTGTTCACAACATTTTAGTATTTCCAAACACAGGCAGTCCGCAAATTACGGACAAGATTGGTTCTGTAAGTTTATTCTTAAGTTGAATTTGTATGTAAGTAGGAACAAGTACATTTTAAGTGCAACTCCAGCCAAAAATAACTATCTTTCTATCTAGCTAGCTATAGAGCTTTGGTTAGCATAGGGAAAGGCTCTGGAGTTTGTTTTGATGTCTGTGCCACTGTTCAGAAGATTTCACCTCACATTTTGTCTCTGTGACAACTGGGTTTTGAAAAACATGAATTGTTGAGGAAACAAGGATTATCCCATAACTCTTTATTTATTATTTATTTATAATAAAATTCATATAAAAACAATTTGAAACTATAACCATCAATGACTTCCAGGTTTAAATCTATGTCAATTTGCATCGTTAAGCCGTTCCATATTTGTTCACAATACTGAGTTTATCTGGCTACAATGAGGTTCCAAAAGCTTGTTCAAAGAACTAGGTTTTTACTCTTTTCCTAAAGGTCAGGAGGGAGGGGGCTGATCTAATATCCCCAGGAAGGGAGTTCCACAGCCAAGGGGCCATCACTGAGAAGGCTCTGTCCCTCGTCCCCGCCAAGCGGGGACAAGGGAGGCGGGATCTTTAAGGAGTGAATTCCTCTTCCTAAGGGTAGATTTCTCTCACTTCCTGTTGTCTCATCCCATTCTTAACTATGAGTCATTTGTAAGTCAGATATTTGTAGAAGGAAAATATTCCAAATATCCTCACTTCAACTTTACTTTATCACTTTCCTCAACAGCCCCTCTCCCCGTGCTAAATAAAACAAAATAAATCCAATAAAATCAAGAGAGATAGGCTCTTAAAACAACTCAAGGTCAACTCAATAAAGAAAAATGCATCTATTCCAGGCCTCTTCTACACTGCTAAATAATTCAGATTATCAAAGCAGACAATCCACATTACATTATCTTTTTTGAACTGGAGTATATGAGTCTACACTGCCAGATAATCCACTTCAAAGCAGATAATCTGAATTTTACATGGCAGTGTAGAAGGGCCCCAGTTGCACCTTCAATATTATCTCTCCCACAAAGTATGGAGAAGAGATAGTTTGCTGCACCCTACATCTTTATCATACCTGAAGCAGACACATGGGGAAAGGCAAGGATAATCCTGATCTCAAATCTCACAGCCACAGCTGGACTGCTTTTCAAGCTGTAGGAAAAACAGCTGTCTCTAACTAACCCCCATGCAGATTCTTCAAACCTGTAAACAGCAAATCAAGAAAAGAGATCTGATTGTCACTGAAAAACAATCATATGTTGCCCATCTCTGTTTCTGTCTTCTTTACAATAACTCTACTTCTGTTGCTGCTGGATGATAGGAAGAAGGAGAAGGAACTGTGATCCCCAATTTTTAGTACAGCTCAGCACAATGATAGAAGGTTCTTGGACATAGCTGGACATCATGCAGCTCTCTAAATGTTTTTGAACTACATCCCATGAAATGTTTTTGAATTGCAAATTCTAGCCACCATAGATATGCTAAGGTGGTTAGATGTTGCAGTTCAACATCATCTCATGAACAATAAGTTTTCCACTCCTGCTATAGGATTCCATGGCTAGAGGAAAAGATATTCACTGCTTTATAAATCTTCCAAAACATTAGGGCTTTTATTCTCTTATGCTACAACATAATGTGAATAATTCAGGATTAGAAAACCAATTGCCCTTAATATTAAGCGTTAAAGTATTCCCACAATTTAAAACTATTTTTCTATTTCAAAAATATGGCAAATTAGAACAAGTTCAACTATTATGGATTAATGTAAGTAATACATGAGGGCTGACACATATAGAAGTCACTTGTTGGTATTTCAAATGTGTTGTTTTTTTACTCCTTAAAGTTTGTCACATAGTTATTCCTATGTACTACCATCTGAACTATTTGAAAAAACACAATGCAGGTTCTGCATCAAAATCAAAAAACAAAAAAAATTACTTGGCTATAAAATTGTTCTTGTGCGTCTTCAAGCCATTTCTGATTTATGATAACCCTAAGGGGCACCTATCACTGGGTTTTCTTTGCAAGATTTCTTCAGAGATTTGCCACTCCCTTCTTCTATGGCTGAGAAGACTTGCCCAACATGAGCAAGTCAGTTTCCATGGAAGACCGCATTTCTGTATACCCACACAATCTCTTCGATCATCTGGAGAGGCCCTGCTCACAATCCCACCTGCATCACAAGCACGATTGGTGGGGACGAGGGACAGGGCCTTCTCGGTGGTGGCCCCTCGACTCTGGAACTCACTCCCCAAGGACATCAAGCATGCCACAACATTGGCAGTCTTTAGGAGGAGCTTGAAAACGTGGTTGTTCCAGTGTGCCTTCCCAGAATAAGGAAACTCCAAGCAATTTGTCCCGAATGCACTTTATTAGAGATCTAGGATCATCTGCACGCCCCACCTATCTTCAAAATACCTATCCTATTTCACCTGGTCATGCCCAGCATTTTTTAACAATTTTAATTACTACACATGGACCTGCCATAGGTTCTTTTAATGCGTTATGGTGTTACTGTTAATGTTTACTGCTTGTTTATGAGTTTATTTATTGTTGTATTGTTGTTGTTGTTTTACTGATGTATTTGGGCTCAGCCTCTTGTAAGTCGCACCGAGTCCTTTAGGAGATGGTAGCAGGGTACAAATAAAGGATTATTATTATTATTATTATTATTATTATTATTATTATTATTATTATTATTATTCGACTCCACGGATATGGAAAAAATACAGGATTTTAAAGTTCTGTGAAAAACCAGTACATAATCTGCACTAATTTAAAATGTAAACACTAAACATTATGAAAAGGTGTCTGCACAACTTGCTGGTTAATAATGCTGCAAACAACAGACCAAGAACCCAGTTTCAGCTTATATTATCCTCTGAAGGCAAACTGCATTGATGATCCATTCAATGCATGCAAATCTCAAAATTTGAATCTTAAGAAGCCTGTTATAAGTAACTGCATCTCCTGAAGGAGGGTTAAACATAAGTACTTAAGAGTTTATACCAAGTAAGTAATTTTAAATACTCCCTTTTATTTTATCTTTTCATTCCCTGGTTGCCACATACATTTTGTTTCTATTCTTCTTTTGGAAGAAGGTACATACTTTTTCCATGCATAATAATAGCCAATATAAATAACAGAAATGAAATGCAACTCCTTTTGTAATGTCACCACTCATTTATCCAAAGCCATCATCCATGACCTTGGATTCCAACTAAATAATCTGCTTGTAGGAGACTATAAACAGTCATCTAGCGCTTCAAGATTATCTTTTGTTACACAAAAACCATGAGTAACTCAGAGGGAGAATGGATTCAAGAGAAGTCAATACATTAGTTTGGAAATATATCGCCAGTTATACATTTATATTCATGCTAAATCTCTCAAACTCATAATCTAATGAATGCAGAGATTTGTTTTGGAAGAACATAAACCTGGATCAGACAGGAGCTCATATAAACTCCCACATTTGCACAGGCATAATCAACACACATTGCCAACATGAGGAAATATAGTGTTTTATTTGGATAACAACACAAATCACTAAGTTCCAAGTTTAAATCCCCATTTGCCAATAAATTTACTAGGCAAATCACAGCATTGAATATTACATAATATTTAAGATTGCAAAATTTCAATGCAATGCTACAATGATAAAGGAAACATACACAGCTTTCAGAGTAGCAAAGGATATGTTAAATTTGCTAGATGGAATGGCTTTAGTCACCCTCAATACAGAATTGTATCAATATGTTAAGGCAACATAGGGAATGCATCTGGCCAACATCAATATTTTATAAATTAAACAATAGATCAATAATTAATTTATAAAATATTGATTCAAATAGATGCATTAAGAGATAAATCCTACTCCTGCATAGTACTCAAAGTAAAAAACACTGAAAGCCCGAAACTGAAAAGGAATTAATAAGCAGTGTATTTTCATAAGTGTCAATTGTGAAGTCATGAGCCCTAGTACTATGAAGAGATCAACAGGATTATGGGTCGCCTGAAAAATGAGAAGGATCCTGGATGACAGGTCCTTTTTTCTACCAGAGAGGCAGAGAAGAGCTGTCCTATCTATTAGATTGCTGTTGTTCTTATTACAGCACTATTAATATACCTAATGCCTTACAGATCAAAACAATGTAAGCAAAACACAATTCCTGCTCTGAGGAAACACATAACATACATTTCAATATGAGCATTAGAGGAGAGCATGGAGGAAAGGGCTGGATCCTTAGTAATAGGATCTGCAATACAATGACAATATACAATAGAAAAAATGAAGATAAAACATCATAGGCAAATTTCCAGTATCTCAAGGTACTGGAAATTTGCCTGTGAGGCTCCTTCATTGACACAGAGTATCAAATCTGGAAGCCATATGTGCAAGAAACAAATAAAATGACTATGTATAAAATGAAGCAGCATGCTCATAGTTATACAAACAAAAGTTCCAAATAACAATTGTGTAATTTTTCACATTAACTTTCATGCACTATTCAAAAAGTCGGAAATTAAACGAATATTAGCTTCTGGTTTGCTATGCTCTCACCAACAAAGAAGAACAATATTAATGTGCTCACTTACCTTTGGATCGAGTGGAGATATCCATCCCTTCCACTACCTCCTGCTCTGTCTTTATTTCTTCTTCAGCTAAGCTATGAGAACAAAAAACATTTTATGTTATTACTGTGGTTTACGTATAGTGACTAAGAGCTTCCTGAGGCATGCCACCTCGTGCTACTGTTGGTGGTGCTGGTACCATTAATACCATTAATAAAAGTGGAATTAATACTCAAGTTTTACCTCAAGTACACACAGATTTTATACTGATGGTTGGAATGGCCTCTCACGGCTTTGGTGCTGCACAGTGGACAAAATAGTTAAGAAGCAGGCTAAGATCCAAAAGTGTCTCCTAATTTACATTTTGTTGTTATCAAACACTGTCAAGGCTTATAGCAACTCTACAAATGTGAGTCTGCCAGGAGACCCTGTCACCAATACAAACTCAGAACCATGATTTCCTTATCTAAGTTTATCTACATGGAATGCAGTCTTCCTTTTTTTCTGCCTTCTGCTTTAGCAAGAATAACCAATTTTCTGATGGTTCATATCATATGACCAAAGTGCAATAGACTCAGTTTGGTATTTTGGCATCTAGGAAGAGTTCGGATTTGATTTGTTCTCTGATCTATCCTTCCATCTTTCTTGCAATCTATGGTGTCCACAGAATGTTCCTCCAGCAGCTCACTTCAAATGAATTGATTTTCTTCCTAACTGCTTTCTTCACTGTGTCTAGCTTTCACTACCATACATAGAAACTGAAAATATGATGGCATGAGTGATACTGGAATTCATAATATATTTAATGGTTCTAGTATTTAACGAAATATATTTTGGTTGAGATATCATTCTTCCACTTGAAGGTTATGTAAATTATCTGTAGTCATTATTTGTTTGTTAAGGTTCATGTGGAACCCTTGATTATATTCTATAGAATTTACAATTCTGAGTGGTAGCAAAGTCTTGTAACAAACACTGAAGACAGTATCTTCTGAAAATATTGATAAAATAATTTAGCTCTTGGGTTTGGGGTGATGGCAAAACTATGCTTATACACTTATTTTAAATTCCTTGTTTTATTTCTACAGCTAAGGTTCAGGCTACAGTACTGCCGTGCTCTACTCAAGGCAACAACAAACAAAAAAACAGACATAAGAGTTGCTGCATCATCTAATAAATGGCTCTCTGATAATGAAAGAGGAATTGATTTTGTATTCCAACACTATGTAACTGTAGTTCCTAGAGCCGGTCCTGAAAACAAAGTTATCTATATAAATAAAAATGTAATGTTCGTTTGTGGGATTAACAGAACTCAAAAACCACTGGACGAATTGACACCAAATTTGGACACAAGACATCTAACAACCCAATGTATGTCCTTCACTCAAAAAAATTGATTTTGTCATTTGGGAGTTGTAGTTGCTGGGATTTATAGTTCACTTACAATCAAAGAGCATTCTGAACCCCACCAACGATGGAATTGAACCAAACTTGGCACACAATTCTCCCAACAGAAAATACTGGAAGGGTTTGGTGGGCAGTGTCCTTTGATTTTGGAGCTGTAGTTCGCTTACATCCAAAGATCACTGTGGACTCAAACAATGATGGATCTGGACCAAACTCTACACAAATACTCAATATGCCCAAATGTGAACACTGGTGGACTTTGGGGAAAACAGAATACGACATTTGGGAGTTGTAGTTGCTTTATAGAGATTTATAGTTCACCTACAATCACAGAGCATTCTGAACCCCACCAACGATCGAATTGGGCAAACCTCCCACACAGAACCCCCATGTGGGCCACAGCAACGCGTAGCAGGGGACGGCTAGTACATAATATATATTATCACATTAACACAAATTGCAATATATTTCTTAAATAAAATAAAGAATGCACCATTGTCCTGCCAGTCAAAAGTTACCCTAAATCTTAAGAAGATAAGGAATTAAATTTGGTAAATCGGAATGTACTAATTTGTCACAAAAAAGCAACATTTTCACATTCCTAAATGGTAGGCCATGCCCTAGGAGGAGCGGCTTAAAGAGCTGGGTATGTTTAGCCTACAGAAGAAAAGGTTGAAAGGAGAAATGATTGCCATGTTTAAATATTTGAAAGCCGCCATAAGGAAGAGGGACCAGCCCACTTCCTCTACTGGATGTAAAACAGAATTGTGGCTTGATGTAAATGTCCACACCAAAGTATTGGAAAGAGGGGAAAGATAAGGAGAAAACAGAGGTCATAGCATTGTAAACTATGGTTACAAAACTGCAGACAGACACTCTAATATAGAGCATAACAGTAAAAGCCACACTTTCTTGACTATATCCTACATTAAGTAATCCAGATTATATTAGTTATGAAACTTCAGTTCATAATTAATGGCCACCTTCCAGGAACTTGAGAGTTTACACTCCAGTACCATTGTTCTCAATTCATAGCCAATGAATTACTGTAGCACACTCTATGTGGGGCTGTCTTTGAAGAGAGATCGAAAGAGCTGCGGCCAGGTTGATAACTGGAGCTGGCTAAGGGGAGATCAAGTCAGGGGATGCTGTGGTTTTAGCCTTGAATACGTTTTAACCTGTTTTTATGGATTTTAACTGTGATTTTTAAAATAGCATTGATATATAATTCTGTTCTAATGTTTATATATTTGTAGATTTTAAATTGTATTGAAATGTGTTGTCGAAGGCTTTCACTGGGTTGCGGTGAGTTTTCTGGGCTGTATGGCCATGTTCTAGAAACATTCTCTCCTGACGTTTCACCCTCATCTACGGCAGGCATCCTCAGAGGTTGACGGGTCTTTTGGAAACTAAGTAGGTTTGTATATCTGTGGAATGTCCAGGGTGGGGCCTGGCTGGTTGCTGCCTGGGGTAATCCTTTGCAAGGCCATTAAATGCTAATCAAGGTGGCAAATTGGAACATACACACATACCTAAAGCAGACAAGTGTTCTTTCTCCCACTCTAGACATTATTACACAGAAATATAAACCTCGCTTACTTAGTTTCCAACAGACCCCTCAACCTTTGAGGATGCCTGCCACAGATGTGGATGAAACGTCAGGAGAAAATGCTTCTGGAACATGACCATACAGCCCGGAAAACTCACAGCAACCCACTGCATTGAAATGCTTTTAATGTAAACCACTTTTTGCCTCCTTTGTGGAGAGAAAAAGTGGGTATAAATAAACATAATAAATATAATGATAACAGGCCTATAAAAATAGGCAAACTGCATAGGTCACTCCCCTCCCCGTCCCTCTATGCTCAATCTTGACTGGCTGCAACTCCTCATGTGACTACCAGCTTGCCCCACCAAAATGGCATTTTGCATTGCCTTCCTTTTTGAAATTTAAATCCCAAAACTTGCGACATTTATTTAACCCAAATAACAGTATTAAGTCGCTCTTTGGATTTATCTTAATTCTAGTTGTATTTCTGTTGTATTTAACAAGGAATCTGGTCACTTTCTTTAGCAAATAGCAACACAACTCACATATGAAAGCTGCCTTTACCTTAATACCATAATGGTACCAAACCTCATTTGATCATTGAAGCAAAGGAGGGTGAATGAATACCAGGTGCTATACATGCTCTATTTCATAGGAACAAATTGGAAAACCTGCACTGATTGTGCAAAATGTGTACTGTTTGTGCAAGCAACTACAAGTGAGGGCCTCGAGAGGGTGCCAATGGGTGTGTACTAACACATTATTGAAACTATTCCCAACTCCCTAGCAAAGGGGGAAATACAGAATATTTTAAAAGGGCCAAGGAGCAGGAAATGAAAGCTATTCCCACATAACAAGAGAGAAATTGAGAGTCAGAAAGAGAGAGGCTGTGATAAATTCATGGTTGGTTGAAATAGAAACTGACTCTCTGAATGCCTCCACAAACATTTTCATGTTTCGCCTTGCTGCCCACTAGATTAAAAACAGGACATGGGCAGTTTTCCCACACACAACCACTATACCTTCCTCCACTGCCTCTGTCTCCAGAAAGAAGATTCTTCATGCTTTCCTTGTAGAGGAAATTATGGGAGATGGGAGGAAAAGACTATGTAACTCCCTGGAAAGGGGGCAGAACAGAAAGGGAGGCAATTCTCACCTCTCTCTTTCAGGGTATAGGTAGGGTAAGGTAGAAAAGGGGCCCCTAAAGGCCAATGAAACCCTCCTGAGGTCAAAGATGGGGGCTTTTGTGTGGACGTCTGAAGCCACCTTCCTTCACTTTCCTCGTGACCTGAGAGGTGCTATGGAAGCAACGGCATCAGATAAAGAGAAGGAAGCACCATGCTCTGCCTAGAAGTCATTAAAGGACAGTGGCTTGGAAGCTGCAACCCCCAAGAGGACAAAAGAGAGCAGCCAGAGTCGAGCCCAAAAGGCCCCTTCCCTACCACCATTTGAAACCTGCTCCAGGCACAGGGGAAGGGAGACGGCTGGTGCTTGCTCAGAAGAATTTTGGAGGGAGGGGAGGGCCCAAGGCAAGGCCTGGAATTTCTTGAACAAAGAGGTTGAGGTAAGAACAAGGGTCAGAAAAAATGACTTCTGTGGGACTACAAGTCCCAAAATACCCCAGCCAGCATCTTTGGGCCACCCACATTTCTTTCAAGGGCTACATGCAGTCTGTGAGCCTTATACTGTGCAGATCTGCTAAAAGAATAATTTTCAGTTGCCAAAGACTGAAAAGTTAATGTTCATGTCTAGCAAACCTCACAGATTTGGGGTCTCCAAACATGGCAGTTAAAGCTCCAAAAACATACCGTATATTCCGGCATATAAGACGACTGGGCGTATAAGACGACCCCCAACTTTCCCAGTTAAAATATAGAGTTAAGATGACTCCCATGCATAAGACTACACCCGCATATAAGACGACCCCTGACTTTTGAGAAGATTTTCTTGGGTTAAAAAGTAGTCTTATACGCCAGAATATACTGTATATAGCAGGTGGTTCTCAACCTGTGGATCCCCAGACGTTTTGGCCTTCAACTCCCAAAAATCCTAACAGCTGGTAAACTGGCTGGATTTCTGGGAGTAGTAGGCCAAAACACCTGGGGACCCACAGGTTGAGAACCACTGATATAAGCTATCTTCCTGTTAAATATTGACAATAGCAAGCTCTATTCGTACACATCAAGCTATTTTTATGTATTGCCACTGTGTTCTAAGGTTCTCCACTGAAAATAGTAAGGACATTTTAAACTGCAAAGCAGCATTGCTTTACATTGTGACTGCACTGCTGCATACATTCAGAATACAGGTACTTTTGTTCTGTATTGTTTGGGCTACAGCAGAATGCACTGGAAGTCAGTCATATAGTGGATGAGGAAAGCTTCAATACTTGATACAGATAAAATTAAGCCATATCTCTTAAATGATACCTTTGCTGTCCAACCAAAATGCGCAAACACTTCAAGCAAGCTTTCGAAACTCCACTGACTTCTTCACATTACACTAAGCTTGGGATGATAGTTTTTGACATGATAGCTCTCCTAGGTTTGTGCCCTTTGCATCTAGAAAAATTGCTTTCATTTTTTTTAACACAAAAGCTTCCAGTCATCCAGTCATCTTACCAGAAGCTTCCTTCCTCATAAAATATTTTAAAATAATTTGTAATCCTATAGAGCTGCAATGCAGCATATCTGTAAAACCTTGTTCTTGTTTCTCTTATAAGAGGAAACAGAGTAACCACAAACTAAATATTACAGAAAACCCACCAAAAATCTTCCCTGCCATACTGACCAACTATTCAGCCAGCTCATTATAATAATCAGATACTTGTTCCCTTTGAAAGTACTGTACATTTGAAAAGACACTGGTCTGGAATAAGTAAGATAAATAGTTAATAGTAATGGCCATATGTTTTCAAAGTTCCTAATAATGAAACAGTATTTATCTTACTTACTCTGAGAATAAATTAGTTTCTTGAGAAACAGACTAAAAAATAGCTTTTGTAAGGAAGTATTTGCTACCTACATAATACATTGACAAGAATTAATATTAGACACTGACAGGGTACAACAACACAATCCAGGCATTCCATATGTTAAAAACAAAACTGATTTGTTTCACAAATACTTTAAAACTTGCATGACAATGAGGATTACAAATTGAGCCCCCTCCATGCACTTCTCTTTTTACAGGAAAGCTGGAAGATGGGAAATAAAAAAGTCACAAATGAGCAAAAACATGCCTTGTGAGTTTGCAGCATATTAATATTTTCATGATTTTATAAAAATCATATTCCTCATTAGTTCCCACAGGGGATTGTGGTTAATTTAAAAATCCCTTGCATTCAAGCAAAAAATAACATATGTTTCTCAAAGAAGACCTTTCCTTTGTTATAATCTTAACCCTAAAAAATGAAGAAACATTTAAACATCTATTTAACCTAGGTTAACTATAGAAAGAAATCAAAAGTTGCAGATGAATTGCTCCATTTTGACATGTAACCAGGAAATCTGATATGGAAAACTACCCAGAAAATACTGCCCACATACACATTAGTTTCCATTATGGAAATTACATTAACATAATCTCAAGAGACATTAGAAGCTATGTTTTAAAAATAAAAACAATGTTTAACACATTATAAGCACTAAAATTCAGTTTTATCTTCAAAATAATCATTGCTGTTTCCAGACTATGAGTAGCAAACATAAAATAAAAATTCCAGATACTGCATTTAAAAAGAAGCTGGTGATAGTATTTTGCATGCCATAACTGAATAAATAGCATCTCTGTATAAGCACTCACCTATAACAGTCTCTTACTCATCGGTAGCTATGCTATTTATGCAGGATTCTTAAAATGGCGTCTGGCAGCACTGCATTGCCTCATTCCTATACAGTAGCTAAAATGGTAACAATTTATTCAATAACTATGGTCCTTGTTCAGACAGTAGTACTATATTGAAGCAATCATCTAAGTAGCAGGAAAACTGTAAAAGATGACACAGTGATATCTGACAACCCAATGTGTAACTAAATTGCAGAAGACAGGGAGCTTTGTGAAGTCACAGGTTACTAAGGAAATCCTTCCATTTTAGATGCTCTCTTCGGTTTGAATATGCAAGGTCTGATTCTGTTTCTCCAATTATTTTGCAATGCCTAATCTATATTAAAACTTTAAAAAAGCTAAATGGAAGATATAAAAATAAAAAATTGGGTGCTAAACTCTCTAAAGCATGTAAAATATTTATTTTTAAGGTGTTATTTGATAAAGGCATGACAAAAATTTAATCAGGTTCAAAGGCTTCCAGTTCTGGCAAGCAACTGTATATCCAAGACGTGAGTAGTACAAATAGGACTTTTAAAATACTAACAGCTTTGTCTTTTGGAGAGGTTAGTATACTTAAGGCAACTGATTTCACAGAAGCCATCTGCTTCTCTCAAGACTTTGTAATCTCAGTTAAGCAAAATGTCTTCCTATGCAAGCAAAATCACAGTAGGTTAATGCTCTCAAGGCAAAACTTTTATCATGTTTTAAATTACTCAGTGAGACCTAGCAGGACAAAAACAAATCTGACTGCAGCAAAGTACGTCAGACTAAGCCTATATACATCACATTCTGTGAAAGAGATATGTTTGGGCCCTAGGCTTCCAAATCCCAATCTGATGACCTAATGTGCATATTCTGTTGCTACACTCCCCGCCCCCAAAATACCAAGATGCCATTCTGGGGTCTTCAATGTGCTATGCTTGGCTCAACAGAATTCAGAGCATCGTTGGCCCTGAGCCTTATCACTCTTAAAATTGATGACTACAATGTAGTACCCGTCTGAGCGGACACTGGATTTTATTTATTTCTTGCCAAGTGTAAAAAAAAAAACATGGTTCATTTATGCGAGGGAAAATAAGCATATCAGTAAAATAGAGGGACGTTTCAAAAAATTACAAATTAGAATATGTATATGCCACACCAATCAAGCAGCTTATCATAAGAAAGAACTGATGCATAACAGATAAGAGTATGAAAATATGAAGGTCATGTAGAATAATGCTGATTTTACAAGTAATGTCCTTTGCATTAAAAAAGCATGGGCTCATTCTGTACATGGCTCTTCTGAAGTCAACAAACCAAATGGAGAGGAAGAGGAAGGGTCATTCATCTGGGCGCTTCACATGTTGCACTATTTTTATTTTCCAGTTTTGCTAAATGCTATCAGAAAGTAAATGATTATCGATATCAGTTATCACATTAATCCATTTCGATTTAGCTGCCAGTTACATGAGTTTGCATACAAAGGAGGAAAGGCACAGTTTCTTTCTCTCATATTTTCATTCTGATTTACAAACTCGCTAATCCATACACACAATGCTGCATTATCTGCAGAGATAACTGCAAAAGTAACCAAATGTTGGTTTAAATAATAAAGGTGAGCTATATTCACCTTGGATAATTTTAAGGAGCCCATAAGCTTGCAAAACATTAAAAGAGGAATTAAGCTCTCAATTTTAATTTTAGCATAACAGTTTTTTGGTGAACACGCTAATGGTGTTCAGAAGAAGATTAAAAACTTGGATGTTTGAACAGGCATTTGGTTAATCAGTGCAATGAATGTGATGATTACAGGAATGGAAATATGGACAACGAATTTGGATCACGACTCTAGTTATGAGATGCATTGTGTTGTTATTGTGATGTCAATATTGTATATTATGCTCCTATGGTTTTAAATTGTATATCGTTGATTGATTTTTATCCTTGTTGTAAACCGTGTTGAGTCGCCTGCTAGGCTGAGAAACTGCGGTATACAAGTAAAGTAAAGTAAATAAATAAATAAATAAATAACTACAGCTCAGTTATGTGGTTCCTGATAAAACAAGTCAGCATCAAGACCTGCAGCATTCATCACCAAAATCTGTTGTGTCTGGTCAGTAAAAGCACCTCCACCTACCCAGCCTCTGCTGTTTAAGACAATGTATATCACCTGCTTGAAAAACGGGGGGGGGGGGGGGGGGGGGGGGGAGAGAGCACCCTGTTATCTGTGTGTGTGCCATTCATGAATGTGACAGATTAATACACTGTCAAAGAATTGGGAATTATGTGGAATTCTCAGATTGGCTGAATTTGCTTTACTTAGATGAACAAAGATGGGAGAAATTTCCAGAAGGCCTTTCTTCGCCTGGCTACAGTATTTGTCAATCATTAACTTCTCCTCTCTTTCTATTGGCTCCAGCTCTGAGGAGAGCAGCATGATTGGGCTGATCCTGGGAACAACACGGCTGTCTCTCCTCGCTTCAGACATCTTGCTGCAATGCAGACATTTATATTTTGTGAACTATGAAAGAATTTGCATTTGAACAATTTAAAAGGGTGAACTTCAGGGGACTTGTGGTACTGTGTTTCATTATGTGCACAAGAGCTGCCCATGCAAGCATGCTTTCCCCTGTCAGCAATATCTCTGGAGGCACAGATTTGAGACACATCCCTCTTCAGCTAAACCTAAGGGAGCCATTTTAATTCAGGCATTCTGAGCACTGCTCGTTTTTCCTGCTTCTTCATATGATAATATTGGGTAATGTTCCGATTCCACGCCCATCTGCTAATGCACAATGCCCTGCTACAAGACAAAAATATGCCTTTGACAGTAGAAGAACTGAAACTTATTGCTCAGCAATCTCTTGCTATCACTTCTACAAGCAAAGAATGTATAAAATAGCAGAGAAACCTAACACTGAACTTCAGCACTTTTAGGAGTGGGGAGGAGGGCAAGAGAGAATCCTTTCGAATGGGGCATTTGAGTAATACACACACTTGGGGGTTTTCACTTTAAATACAGGCAATAGTTTTATCAATTGCATGGGATCCCTGTATAAATGGTAACAAGGCATCATTTCGCAAAATGCATTTGTATTGTATAACAAGCAGGGCTGTGTACAGACAACTCACAGCAGAGCCTCTGTTATGCTGTGAGAAAATGTCCACTGAAAAAGCTGCTTGTGGAGACATGCTTACAAATGTCTCAGCCCCAGATTATTTTTAAAAAGCACAAGTTACTCAAATGTGGCTCTAAAACCAAATTTCATGCTGGATGATATATCACAGGAGAACAAAAGCAGAGGGGTAACTGTGGAATAGCCCTGTAACAATGTGGCAAGATTAGTTTGCAGAGAACTAGCACATTCATCACACTTCAAAAGCCTGGGGAAAGTCTGAATTGAGCTTTAACCTGAAAAATGCATTAATTAGAAAGATCTAGGAACAAAGAGTAAGCAGAATTTCATTTTCAATGGAAAACAGGAAGTACACAATGTGGCAGAAGACTGAAAAAACTGAAAAATCAAACTGGCACACAGTTTGTATAAAGGCAAATACTGAACAAACATCAACAAAATTAGTTTTACTTCACTAAGCTATCCACAGTTTTACTTAACTGGCTGGATTAAGTTTGTCCTGTTAAAAGCAAGAAAGATTAAACACAGTGCAAAATGATCAGAGAATAGCAGACAAGTTTACTTACCAAGTGTTCATGCAACCATCTCATTTTTCCAGTAAATAGGATACAACAAGCTGGCAGATTTGGGATTTGACCAAAAGGAATTTTTTGAAATAATTACGTAGCACCATGCCAAAAATCAGAAGAGCCCGAAAGAAAAGGGGGAAAAATGAACATGTAATACTCCCATGAACCACACATGATTTTATATCACTCCACCTCAGAGAACTGTGCCTGATATATTGCAAAAGAAAAAAGCACATTTAAGAAGTCCATTAGTTTTACTTGTGCTACAGAAAAGGACATAGATAACAGCTCAAAAAACATGTTGTCTTTAAATAGGCTGGCACTGAAATATGCATAGCTATGCCTGATGGCTTCAGACCTAGACCTTAACTGTTTCTACAATCTACAATAAGAAAAGTCCTTTTTAAAGAGACAGCTGGTAAGCAAGAGATTGCCCTCCAGAAAATATACACACACTGCATCTAAGGCTCCTGTAAGGAAAAAGTAAAATATCAAATTTAAGTTAAGGTAAAGCTGCACAAAAACATGATGCAATAGCACTCCACCACTTAGGCCCAGTATCTGCAATCTCCCATTAGCACTATTTCTTGTGGTCCAGGCAGCTAAAAATCCTATGCTTTTTCAAGGATCACTTTGCCTTGCCCTTCTTTGCCCTGTTTGAAAAGGTAAACTTGCCTGTTCTGCTGTCTGCCATGATCCTTGCTTGTCTCCCTGTAGGGCAGTTCAGTGCATCTGCTCCCTAGCTTCCATTTTCTCTCCAGCAGCATGTGACACAACAGACAATAGTGCAGGCAAACTGCTCAGACACAGAGAGCTGCTTTGGAAGAGCAGGATCTTGAGAAACACTCACAGCCCACTAGCCTCCTGTGAAGAAGTATGTATGCAAACGTTTTTGCCACTCTGTACATTTAAAACTATGGCTAATGGCTACTAAACCATGTGACCCAAGAAAGCAAATTTAAACATTTTCAACTTAATAAAGTGCTTTGGGGGCCAGTTTTGCGAACCAGATCACAGAGAATCACACTGTTAAGCCACAACTCATAGGTTTCAGAGGAAAAAAAATGTAAAAAAGTCAAGCTTACCTCTGTGGATGCATTGTTAACACAGTGTTATGTCAATACTTATAAAACATGGAGGACAGGCTCTCAGTACTCAGACAGAAAGGGCTTGGCACTTCAGCTTGATGATCTGTCTTCCTAATAAAAGCTAATCCTGGATTGGCTACTTTGGAAAATCTGAATGTAAAGCTTCAGGGGATTGGCTGAAACACTTCCTGAGCGATTATCTTTGTGCAGCTCTGGCAAGCAGGAGCCATCCTGTGCACAGAGAAGACAGGCTAAACTAGGCCCGTTTCAGCAAAAGAAACTTAAAATGTGAGCCACACGCAAGCAAATGATTCTCAACGAGTAGATTTTTCAGCAGAATAGAGCAAGCACCAAGTGCCAGTCCAAAGGAAACGCTTCTCCAACGACATCTGTTGGTTCTGTTTAAGTTTTGAAAAAACCTGCAGGTTTCCATAGGTCACCAAAGCTGCTTTGCCTTCGGGGAGAGCAACAATTTTCTTTTTAAAAACTCCCCTAAAAGCCACGCTGGAAGCAAAAAATTTTGCAGTCACACACCCACAAACAACAC